CCGGATTACTTTTTAACTCTAGGTGAAAGATTTCTTGCGGCGGGAGACTACAACGCCAAGCACACGTATTGGGGTTCACGACTCTGTAATCCAAAAGGAAAACAGCTCTACAATTCAATTGTAAATAGAAAAAATGCACTAGACGTAATCTCTCCTGGGCAGCCAACATATTGGCCTGCTGATAACAATAAAATACCAGACCTAATAGACTTCGCGGTATCCAAAGGCATAAGCAAAAATTTTATCTCAACATACACTAGCTGCGATTTGTCTTCTGACCATTCTCCAGTTACATTTTGCTTACTTGATGGTCCTCAGTTATATGACTATTTCTATAGCATTACAAGTCCTAGAACAAACTGGCTCAAATATAAAAAGTATATTAACTCACACATACACACAAATTACAAGATAAAGTGTAAGTCTCATATTGAGGACGCAACCTCTGTTTTAAACTCAATTCTGATTTCAGCAGCAGAAAACTCCACCTCTAAAGGCAATAAAATTTACAGATTCAATAGAGTACTTACAAATAGTGACATAGAGAATTTAGTTTTACAAATACGTAGATTAAGGCGTGAATGGCAAAAATCTAGGTCCCCTTTAGCGCAAAACTTATTTAAGGAAGCCCAAAGGAGACTTAGATCTGTATTAAGCGAGGAAGTCAAAGTCAGACAATATAATTATATTCAAAACCTATGTCCAAATGGCAAAAACCATTCATCTTTGTGGAATGCTAGCAAAGGTATAAATTCGCCCATAGACTCCGATTCTCTAATAAGAAACTCTCTTGGAAACTGGGCGCGAAGTGATGAAGAAAAATCTAATGTTTTTGCTGATTGTCTAAAAGAGGTGTTCCAACCTAATCCTGCAACAGGACAATATGACTTTCCCACTCAAGATCCACCAGCACAATCTATTGACATGAATATCACGGCCAATGATCTTGTTCAAATAATCACAAACAAGTTAGATTGCAAAAAAGCACCGGGATATGATAATATCTCACCCATCATGATAAAAAACTTACCCCTTTTGGCCATACATTTTATCACAAGACTTTTTAATGCCATAATTAAATTTGGCTTTTATCTAACAGAGTGGAAAACATTCATGATTATTATGATTTATAAATCAAGTAAACACCCCACGCTTGCCTCTTCATACAGGCAAATAAGCTTACTGCCATGCCTTTCTAAACTCTATGAAAGGGCACTGCTTTTAAAGCTAAAACCGTTCCTTGACGTTCAAAACTTAATACCGTCCCACCAGTTTGGTTTTAGGGAAAAACATGGAACTATTGAGCAAGTGAATCGTATAAGGAATGAAATAAGACACGCATTTGAGCTCAGAGAATATTGTTCCGCGGTATTCCTCAATGTTAAACAAGCATTTGATAAAGTATGGCATAATGGACTCATATATATGATACGCTGTTCATTACCTGCAAATGTCCACTCAGTTTTAGAATCGTATCTGCATAATAGAAGCTTTAAAGTGAAATGCAAATCATATACTTCTAATAATTTCCCAATAGAAGCTGGCGTTCCACAAGGAAGTGTTCTTGGCCCTATATTGTATGTACTTTACACATCTGATATCCCGATAAGTAGTTCAGTTATCACTACAACGTTTGCCGACGATACGGCAATTTTATGCCGAAACAAAAACGCTGTGCTAGCTTCAAACCAACTTCAATCTCACTTATATCGGGTGGAGAAATGGTTGTCAAAATGGCGAATTAAAATTAACGAAGTAAAATGTAGACACGTCATTTTTACCTTAAATCGGAGTACATCTCCAAAAATTTTACTAAACAACATTCCCATACCACAAGCAGATAATATAACGTACTTAGGTATCCACCTAGACAGACGACTGACTTAGCGCAAACATATTGAAGCTAAAAAAATTCAGATGAAGCTCCAAGCCTCTAAGTTGCATTGGCTTATTAATAGCAGATCTTCCCTGTGCCTAGAGTATAAAGTACTCTTGTATAACAGCATCATAAAACCAGTATGGACTTATGGTATCCAGCTATTTGGCAATGCTAGTGCTTCAAATATTGAAATTATACAAAGAGCTCAGTCAAAAATACTAAGAATTATCACTGGTGCCCCATGGTATATTAGGAATGAAAGTATACACCGAGATCTACAAATTCTCCTAGTTATAGCTGAATTTGACAATATAAGAAAAAAATACAATAAAAGGCTGACAGAGCATGTTAATCCCTTAGCAAGAAATCTCGCACTTCTATCCATTACTTCCCGCCTAAAAAGAGCTGACCGTCCAGCCGTTAATTAATATTCAACAGCTCGAAGTAAAAACCGCACCTTTCTTTTTAGTAATCTGTTAAAGTTGAACCACTTTCTTAAGAAACCACCTAACATTCACTCCAATGAAATTTAACCCATTAATCTAAGTGAGGTTCGTGATATAAGGTTTATTTATTTTATTTTATTTTATACAATGTATAGTTAAAATAAAAATTTGTAACATTATGTAATTAGTTATAAGATTTTACAACTTATTGTTAGTCTCATTTTAAGAGAAGATGCAATAAATAAATGTATGTTTAAAAAAAAATTGTAGTGATAGTATCTCAGAAAATAGAGTAACATTGCAATCACAATCAGTAAAATTGCCACAAATTACGCTTCCAACTGTGTTTAGCATGTAAAAGGGATAGCTATCCGTTGTGCACATGTAAGTCTTATCTTCAGGATGCTCTTAGTAAACGGCTTGATCTAGTTCAACAGATGTGATTATGCATTAATTGTCTGCAGGCGGGTAATTTTGCAAAAGAATGCAAGTCAAGTAGTTGCAAAAAATGTGACAAAAAACACAACTCACTCCTACATTTAGAAGATCCAAGCAGTAAGGCTACAAAGCCAGAAGTAAATAATTCAATAAGCCTAGTCTCTAATAACAATAATCACAAGTGATGCTATGTTATGTTGGGAACAGCACGTATAACTATAAAAGGCAATAGAGGAACAGAGATCGAATGCAGAGCATTATTAGATTCTGGTTCGCAGTTCAACTTTATCACAGATAGGCTTATGAAGAAATTAGGAGAAAACCGCCAAAGGACGTTAGCATGCATTGAAGATATCGGACAGAGAAAACAAAATGCTCAACGACGAGTAAATCTAACATTTGGTTCTATAATTAACAACTATTCAGCAAGGGTAGAAGCATACGTAATACCGAAAATTGTATCTAATGAGCAGAGTGTGCACATCGACATATCGAATTGGAAAATACCCAGCAACATTAACTTAGCTGACACAGGCTTCAATGCTAGTGATAAAGTTGATATTTTGTTAGGTGCGGCTTCAATGATAGTGATAAAGTTAATATTTTGTTAGGTGCGGAGTTTTTACATCAACTGCTATCTACAGGGCAAATAAGGATTGGGAATAATCTTTCATCATTGCAAAACACGTTACTGGGATAGATAGTGATAGGAAGGACAAGTGATCACGAATTACCTCCACAGACACAGACTTGCGACGTACTCTCAGACGATGATGAAATACTAGAACAGGTCATAGAGAAGTTTTGGAAGTTGGATGCGATGGTACCTACAACAATGACATTAACTCCACATAAAGAATTGTGCGAATCGCATTTTGTAAACAACACGCAACAAACCAGTTTGGGTCGATTTGTAGTGAAACTGCCTTTTAAGCAAAATCCAGAAAGTCTTGGAGAATCTGATCAAATAAACAGGTTTTATGCACTTGAAAGAAGACTGAGCACAAATGAGACTGTTTGGCAGCAATACATGAACTTCATGAGAGAATATGAGAACATGGGTCACATGGAAAAAATTGATATCGAGGGAAGTGCATCTCATTATATGATCCCACATCATTGCGTACTTCGACCAGAAAGCAGCACAACCAAACTCCGAGTAGTATTTGATGCTTCATGCAAAACTCATAATGGCTTGTCGTTAAATGACATTTTATTGACAGGTTCAAAAAATCAATATGAGCTGTCTTCTATTCTACTTCGTTTCAGATGTCCAAGGTTCGTATTCTGCACAGACATTGTAAAGATGTACCGGTAAATCCTTGTACATCCGAATAATCGGAATTACCAAATTATTGTATGGAGAGAATCGTTACGTCAACTGTTGAATTTCTATAGACTAAATACTGTGACATACGGCACACGGTCGGCACCATATTTAGCCACGAAATGCCTACAACAATTGGCCATTAAGGAATCATCTAAATATCCGCTCGCAGTTTCGGCGATTCAAAATGATTTCTATGTTGACGATTGTTTCAGCGGATCAGACAATCTCAATACTGCATTGGAGATACAACGTCAACTTAAGGATTTGTTGGAGTCGGCCGGTTTTGCATTACGTAAATGGTGCGCCAATGATCCTTCTTTGCTTAAGGATATAGTAAAACAAGATCAAGAAGTCGATTTAGACTTTGACAGTGTAGATCTACCATCCATCAAAACATTGGGGTTAGTGTTGCAACCGAAAATTGACAAATTCAGAATTAAAGTGGATCTACATCCAGCAAAGCGGGTGACTAAACGATCAATTATTTCAAATGTAGCTTAAATATTTGATCTCCTTGGCATCCTGGGTCAAGTTTTAGTAACCGCCAAGGTACTGATTCAGGACTTATGGCAACTCAACCTAACGTGGGATGAAGCGGTACGAAATCAAGTATACAGTAGGTGGATCAGTTTTTTCGAAGAATTAAGATAACTTCATCGGTTTCAAATTGAAAGGCATATATTTGGATAGCAGATAGCGACATCGGTACAACTTCATGCATTCTGTAATGCTTCCGAAAAGGCTTTTGGTGCTGTGATATAAGTTTGAGCAACATTGAAAGATGGACGTCTGATTAATCGGCTTTTATGTTCCAAATCACGCGTCTCACCCTTAAAAACACAAACTATTCCACGCTTAGAGTTGTGTGCGGCTCTCCTTGGAGCAACACTAACGAAAAGAGTAAAAGATGACTTGAACTATAAGGTGCCAGCATATTATGGGACCGATTAGGAAATCGTGCTGTACTGGATAAATTCGGTGCCAGCAAAGCATCAACAATTTATATCAAACAGAATTGTTGCAATTCAAGGCATTTCAGTACCAAGCCAATGGCGACATGTGAGTTCACGACACAACCCTGCAGATGCATTATCACGTGGCACTAAACCTTCCCAGTTACAAACTAATCACTTATGGTTTTTGGGCTCAATGTTTCTACATGGGCCAGGAGAATTCAAAAAAATGTTATGCAGTCTTCCTGATAACGCAGAATTGAAGGGTACTTTACGTCAGGTTGCATTAGCTGCAATTAGCTGCAGTGCCGACTGGGTGTATACAGTAAGCCACAGAAATTCCTTCAAAACCTTGTTACATATTGTAGGCTATGTGCTGCGCTTCATAAACCGGACCACACAACTTCAAAAGCGCGAGATTCATTTAATAGAACTCGATTCAAAAGAGCTACGGGATTCAGAGACTCACATAATAAGGTGCATTCAGGAAGCTGAATTCAAAGAAGACAAAAAGGAATTAAGGCATCGCAACCAGGTAAAGGCAACAAGCGCATTAGCTGCATATACTCCATTTTTAAATGAAGACAACATCATTCGGGTTGGAGGCAGGTTAGATTACTTCAATGTCGAATCATCCAAATGACTTTGACTTTCTAATTGGTGAAGACCTTACAGCACCAGCAAGTACAAGCACACCAAATTTGAAAACATCATGTAGAAAATATAGTCTTCACATGAAATAAAATACAACTGTATGCTGCGAGTGTGCATTTATTACTGCTTTAAACAAAAAAGAATAATTCAATAGTAAGTATAAAGTTAAAAAAAAGAGAGATTAAAATATTAATTCATGATAAGAGATAAAAGATATTTATGATATTAAAAGATATTTTTCACATCATGCGACCCGGCGCATCGCATATTAATTTAAGCGGATATAATAGTTGAAAAGGTCTTCTCATAATTTTCTGGTCTTTGAATCTAACATCGTAGCTACCACCACTGCCATTTGCCAAAGAAGTCTTGATTGATGTTCATCTTTGACCAATACTAGATCGCCAATATTTATAGATTTTGTTGGTTTAGACTCATTAAGATGAATTGAGCGTAATTGAGTTAAGTATTCGTCCTGCCATCGTTACAGTCAGTACTAATATAGGTGAGTGGTCTTCGATTTACTACACTTTCTACTTTCTGTTAGTAAAGTATCCATTTCATAACAAGCCAGCCTTACTTTACCAATTGCTGCCTTTAAACAGTTTTATACAGTTCGTACAAGCTGCTCCCAAAATCCACCCCACCACGCTGCACGTTCTGGAATAAACTTCCACTTAATGCCATTGGCTACAGCAAATTGGTTGATTCTGGTTTTCTCCATTAGTTGTTCAAGCTTTTGCACTTCCATACAACTTCTTTTAAAAGTTTTTGCATTGTCTGATATAATAACAGAGGGGGTGCCACGCCTTGCAATAAATTTACTTAGTGCGTTTATACAGCTTTCAACAGTTAAATCTCCTACCAGCTCCAAATGGATTCCTCTAGTTGCTGCACAGGTAAACAACATTATATACGCTTTTTAAAATCATTTTTGTTGTCAGTAGAAGTTATATATAACGGACCAGCAAAGTCTATGCCAGTGGTTTGAAATGGTTTGGATACAGAGACCCGTCCGATAGGTAAATCCGTCCAGTTTTCAGATGCATTTTTCCCATGCAGCCTTTTGCAAATTATACTTATTTAACTTATTTAATTATTAACACCCAAAATCGCTTTCGAATCTTAGCTAAGGTAGCATTAATTCCACTGTGCATAAACTTTTGGTGCGCTTCCAAAACAATCAACTTAGATAAATATGACTCCTTTGGCAATATAATTGGATTGCTTAGTTTTTCATACTCAGTCGTTGGTAAACGACACGAAAGACGCAGTAACCCATCTATTAAAACGGGATTCAATTGTAAAATTTTTGATTCCGCTCCAATTTTTTGTCCTTTCTTCAACGATATTATTTCTGACAAAAAATACTCACTTTGTGCACAACCAATCCAATAAACTTCCGCTTTATTTAATTCCTCTAGAGTCAAATCATCAATCTTCTCCAATTCAGTATTGGTAGATTGCTGAATTCCTTTATATTTTATATTCCTTAAAAATCGAAATACGTATGCGGTAACTCTTAAAATTTTCCGTAAATTACTAAACTTTTGTATATCAAATATAGTTTCCTTAGATATATTGCAAACATTCTCTTCTTGAAGTACTTTTGTGATAAGAGTTGCGCTATCCTCAATTTCCCCTTCCTAAATCCTAAAGGTTTCCATAACGTTATCTAGCGATTGAGGAGTCTCTACTTCTTCAATAGGATATAGAGGAAGTAGATTTAGTAAATTGGTTCGATATCTACTCCAGTTGGTATCACGGTAATTCCGATAAGGTTTCTTAACTGGACATTATCGATTTATGTAGAATTGAATATAACGATGGTCAGAGAATGAGTCTTCATCAAGAACTCTCCAATCCTTAATCTCAAGATCAGTGTTTTCAATAGTTAACGTAATATCTAAAACTTCTTTTCTGCCTGCAATAATAAAAGTAGGTTCTACTCCTGTATTGCATATATAAAGATTATAATCTAGAATAAAATCGAATAACGACTCACCTCTTTCTAGGTCTACCTGAGTCTGTGTTGCTGATAAGTTTATAGTCATTTGTTCCAATTCCACAGATCCGGTTTTCCAGTATCCATGGTTCCTGAATCAGAACAACATCGGTTCCACCCTGTGGATTAGAAGGTTTGCTGAGAGTGGTGGAGATTAATTTGAATTACCTTCATGAGGTACTTGAACCTCTACCACCGTTTTGTCGGCTTCGTCATCCGAGTCCAGGAGCCCACTCTCATCGAATAGATTGCCTAGACTGGTCACCGACCCCGCATCCGATTTTTCTTCAGACGTCAGAGAGAGCGAGTCCACCTCCATTTGATCTGGCAGGTCTTCACTTTGTGTTTCCTCACAAGTCTGCTGTCTTAACATTGGTCCTTTAGCTGGTTCCTCCAGCAAGGGCTGATCAGACGTAATCTTCTCCGGTTCTTCCGCGGCATCGGTACGATAGACCTTGAGATTTGGCTTCTCGAAGCCATAGGAGATTTCATATTTAACTTCGGAGAGCGGTTTCAATGACTCCGCATTAAATACAAGGACAGCTTGTCTGGTACGTCCAACAGGCTCCTCTAATTTAACCACCCTCCAATTTCCAGTTGGAAAATTGGGGTTGCAGATCCTGATGATTTTCAGAATTTGCTCCTGATCAGTTTGTTTGGTTGGGATCCAAACCCTGGCCCTAGGACGAGATGGAATATCCTTCCTGTCGACCGCTTCAAGTCTGGCTCCATGCCAGATCTCTCCTACTTTAGAGACGGCTGCCTTGTACAAGGCAACGGATCTTGCATCCTTGCAAGCGACCAATTTCACTTGTCCTTGGTGCCAGCCCGCGTCTTCGCAGGAGGGAGCAGGTCCTGGGTTTTCTTCCAAACTTGGAGGAAAATGTCTGCCAACGCGGCCGACACCCATTCCATTTGTTCTTGGGGATTCTCCCCTCCTCGGCACTCCCATCCAGGACACCTAAAATGAGATTGTCCTTCGAAACCTCACTGTACGGTCGTACCAGTACATTGTGACCTCTTGGTTTCTTCGTAAGAGGGGGTTCTTCTTCCTGAGACCTTTGTTTTTTAGACACTCGGTCCGGTTTGGAAGCCTCTTTATTGCTTGATTTAGCCAAGATGCTTTTGACCCATTCAAGGGATGAAGCCTGTTGTTGACTGATTTTATCGGCCGGGATCTCACCTACGCGCTGCAGAATTCTTGTAGCCATACGACGGTCGTTATGGGCATTTTTAGAAGGTGGAATTCTTCTTGAGGATCTGGGTTCTGACTTGTCACTGCTTTTGGCCGTGACAGAAGAGGCAACATACTGTGGGGTTTTAAGTCCATAAATTTAAAATTCAAACACATTTTTATATTTTAATATCAAATTCAATTATTTATTTTTATTTATCATATTAACAAACTTAGTGTACACTTTTCAATATAACGTTCAGAACTCCACTGTCGTACAATTATATTTTTCATACCGATCATAGTTCGGTTTTACAATAATCTATTTTACATTTTATTATTATTTACTTAAATTCTATTGGTTAATATAATTCTTAGTTTCTATATACTTACGTCATTGGTCAACAATATCATTTCTTAATAGTTGACACACATATGGTGACCAACTGTAAAAGAGGGCAAATCATATTGCATGCACAATTGCTTGCAATATGATCCGCACAACACTTGACATATTTTAATGTGTTCTAGATTCCGAAATCCAAATTGCCAAGCACATGCTGAAGTAATTATACTTCGCTATGCACTAAAACGTTTGTCATAAAGAAATGACAAAACAAAGGAGTCGAATTACCAACTCATAAATTATTGTGCTATACAATTTGGGTTTCTGGGTTATAAATAATGATTTGAAGTGTTTTGGGTTAAAGTGTCAGATCATCATATCGCACACATTGAATTGCGTGTGGTCATGGTCTGATATGACACTACACCCTCACCCTTCAAAAAAAAAATTTTTTTTTTGTTTAAAAAAAAAATTTTTTCTTTTTAAATGTTTGACCATGATCATAAGTAATAATTGTAGATAATTAATTGTAGATTAAAAAAAAATATTTTTTTTGTTTTTATTTTTATAAATATCATAAGTATTGTGAAATTATACATAAAAAAATTTTTTTTTTTTTTTTTTTATAAGAAATTTAAAAATATAAATATGAAATATTTAAATATGCAAATATGAAATGTTGAAATTTTATTATTATTCTATCTTAATACATATAAATTTTAATTAGTATTTTTATAATTTTATTAATATATTTTGAATTCGTAATATTTTGTTTAAAATTGTTTAAAATGTTAAGATTATATACTTTTATTCTCTTTTGAATAATTTTGTATTATTTTTGTGAAGAGTCTTTGTTTCATTACCAATACTTACTATGACATTACTACCTTCTATATTTGTTACTTTATATGGGCCTGTATAAGGGCTTGTACCTTTTCGTTTGTTTTGTGACTTAATTAATACTTCGTCACCTATTTTTAATTTAATCGGCCAACTATTTTTCTTTGATATTTCTCTCCTTTTTGTTTTAGCTTCTATGCTGAATTTTCTTGCTTGTTCAATTGATAATCTAAGCCGTACTTTTAATTCATTTGCATAATCATCTAAGTTGAATATTCCCTGTCTATTTTCTATGTTTTCATTGGGTAATGCTGGTAATTTACCAAATACCAGTTCATGTGGTGTATAACCTGTGTCGACATGTGGAGCAGTATTATATGCGAATGTATAATACGGTACCCATTTGTCCCAATTATCATCATTAGCGAAATTTAATAAGTATTCATTAAGGACTCTATGGTTCCTCTCTATGGTACCTACTGTTTCGTGGTGGTATGGGGTTGAAAAGATCTGTTTTATCCCCAAGATTTCTGTCACTTTGGCTAACAATTCATTTAGGAACTCTGTACCTCTATCTGATTTTAATATTTTGAAAGAACCGAATTTTAATATCAGTTGTTCTACTAGTGTTTTCGCTATTGTTGTGGCATCTTTGCTAATTATCGGGTGTGCAATAATGAATCTACTTAATTCACACTGCATCGTTAAGATGTACCTGTATCCATTAGATGGTCTTAAAGGTCCAACGGTGTCGATTTCCACAGTTTCGAAAGTTGTATTTGGGGTTGACGTTACTTGAAGTTCTTCCCTGGTATGTCGTATTTGTTTGTTGCGTTGACATTTTTCGCAGGTGTTAATATATTTGTGAACCATTTGTTTCATCTTTTTCCAACTGTATTTTTGTTTTAGTTTGGTACATGTTTTACGTACTTTCACGGTGCTTCTTCATACTCAGTATTTTTCTCTCGTTGCAACGTATTAATCATTTCTTTAAAATTGTTTTTATCCATGGATTTGAATATTATATCATTATCGCTTAGCGCTAGCATTGTTATTTTTAATTCTTCTAATTTGGATATTATTATGGTTAACATAATCGAAATCGGCTTCGGAGGTATTTCGCTTAATTCCACGATAACTTCTTTATCGTCATAATGTATGAATGCATCCTTCATCTTTTTATTTATTTTAAACTGCAGTATTCTTTTTCTTCGAATGTCACTTATGGAAGTACAATCCCAACAGTAGAGTTGATCAGGCTCAGTGGTTTTTGTATCCATTTGTTTATTCGTTTGAATTTTTGATTTCGCAGCTGTATCTGTTGTAGCTGCGGCGCGCATTTTACTTCGAGTAGTTATACATATTTGAGCTCTATTTATTTTATCTATTATTTCTTCATTATTTTCCAAGTTTTTTAATTTGCGGTCGGACATCGTATCTTCTGTAGTTGGTATTAATTTCTTTAAAATGGTTGTGTCTATTTTAATTCTAGACAGTGCATCGGCATTTGTATTAATTTTTCCTTTCTTATAAATTATTTCGAAGTCATAATCTGATAGGTCGACTCGTATTCTAGTCATTTTTGAAGAAGGGTTACTATGTACGAATAGTGAAATTAAGGGTCTGTGGTCAGTGATGACATAGAAACGTTTGCCATATACATATGGTCTGAAATAGTTAATTGCCCAATGTATTGCAAGGAGTTCTTTTTCAATAACTGGCTTGTTTAAGTCATGTTTTTGTAAAGCTTTACTTGCATAACAAATTGGCAAATCTGTACCAATGTCGCCCTGGGAGAGAACTGCACCAAGTGCATAATCAGAG